GAAGATACAGTTTGTCTGTTCTGTTTGAGGTTTGAAAGAGTATCACAGGCTTGGGGGTTTTTTTTTAAACCCCGATTTCATTTCTGAAGATAACTGGTGCCAGGTAGAGATTGTCATCTTTGAAACACGAGAAAGGTTTTCCTTTAAAAGGTTATCTGATTTTGGTAGAGAAGCTGGGCAGTGGGTGGGTTCAAATGTAGGCCGGGGGGCAAACTCGGCTTCTTTTTTAAATGCCTGCCAGGGCAAAGGTGGCTGCAGTCTTTGGTCTGGTGGAAGGGGGTAGGAGGCCGCAAAATGTTGATTCCACATAAAGCCTGCAGCGAGCGTTTTGCCGTTCAAAAACCCATTGCCTAAGCATAGCTAAGATCCAGATCACGTGCTGAAGAGAGGAGCTGGGGTTTTCTTGGCCTTCTGACTTCAATCAAGTGTAGCATCAGCTTGATATCTTGTTCCTGTTTGTAAGCACGCGGTGTAATTTTCACATCTCTTTAAGCCTATTTCCTGAAATGTCATGGTTCAAATAACACAGTTACTTTTACCTTCTGCTGCAGTCCAAACCAGGTTGCGGAAAAGGTGGCCTCCAGAATTGCAGAGGGCTTTAACGATACAGCGCTCATAATGGTAAATTACTTCATTTCCCCCCCCCGCCTCCTTTCTGTATTGCTAATGTTATGACCGTGGTGTTGGACCAGCCATTTAAATGCCGTTCTCTAGACCCTTTAATAGTGAGGGTAACTAATTTTCTCTTTCCCTCCAAATGCTCTGGGGAAGAGGTGCAATGACCTGTAGCCAGCGAAGTTCTTAGTAAGCCGGCAGAGAGACTGCGGTTGGCGCTCTGCCATCTCAAAGGAAGCGGAGGCCTTCTCTGCTTGCGAGGCTTGAGCGAAGGCAGTGTGTTCGTGACTTCAGACCCCCGTCCGTGACTTAAACTCTCGTCTCATATAAAGCAAACGACGCTTTGCCCCCTTGCCGCAGTGACAAAGGATGTCGGCAGTTTAAACCTGTAAGATTTGGCTCATTTGAAGGTAGAACGGTGGACGAGTTGGTGTAAGGTGCCCTGTTTGTAAAAACTGACCTTTTTTTGTTTTTTGGTTTTTTTAATTTCATCTCTTTACTTGGGATCTTGAGGAGGAGACTGAGGTGGTGTTTTTCTGTTGCACAACAGGTTGATAACACCAAGTTTACAATGGAGTGCATAGAGCCTGCCATTCATGTGTACGAGCTTCATGAGAACAAGTGGAGGTGCAAGGACCCGCACGTGTGAGTAAACTTCAGAGTTTATTTGTGTTTGGGTAGTAAGGAAAAACGGGTTGCCTGGTTAAGGGCAAAAGTTTGATTGTGGTGAGTGACACTGTAAGGGCGGCGGGTGTAGCTGACAGTGCTTTTAAAGCTGTTTTTTGCTGTAGTGAGAGGGAACAGCCGGCTTCTGCAGCCAGGCAGCGGTACAATCACCCTGACCACGTTGCAGAGAGTGTGGCTTAATTTCCGGAGCAGAGGAGGCGGTGGAGATTTTCTTTGTGATTACTTTTAACTCCTGGTTATTTTACGTCCTAGTGACTTTTGTGAAGATTGGACCGAAGCCCAGAGAATCGCTGCATCTCTCTTGGACAGCAAGTCCTACGAGACGCTTGTAGATTTTGATAATCACCTGGATGATATCCGGAACGACTGGACGAACCCAGAGATCAACAAAGCTGTCCTCCACCTGTGTTAGAGGGGTTTCTACTGACTAATTTACGGGCATTCCCGCTATGTACTGAAGAGAGGAAAAAAAGCTATTTTTGAATGTAAATAGAATAATATTCAGTACCTTGTGTGGAAACCCGACTGATTAAAAAGGAGTGGCGTGTCACATTGCAGAGAGTGATGTGTCCGTAAGCCGTTGCATCTTTTTTTGTGAGGTTCCTTGGAAGAACTGCGAACTGTCGGTTACAGCTGTCCTCGTGGACGCCTTCCCACTTGTAGTGAACGTCGCTGTTCCTTCGAAACCAGAACTGCTGCCGCTTGTCCCTACTGTTCGTATTACAAAGTTTTGACTAAGCTTTTCTAATCTTTAGAGAGATTACTTTTCAATGATTTATGGAAATACCTTTCAAAAAAATCAGTCTTGTCCTCAGATGAGAAATTTTAAGGTCAAATACATAAAATGTAACGTTAACGGTTTCTTTTGGCCTGGTTTGGAAATGTCATTCCGTCGGCACGGTAAAATGCGAACCGCTGAGGACGATGTGCCGTGCTCGTGTGTCACCTGTTTTGCAGTGGCTTAGCGTGACACGGCCGCAGAGGAAGCGTTAAAGCAGTGTTCCCAAATCCTGCAGTGATTCCTGCTCTCCGTGGGCATGCAGCCACAGTTACTGCTTGAAAATGTTAAACCCAAGGCAAAAACAAATATTCATGTAACGGTTTGTAAAAGGGACTGGAAGCGCACTGATGAGTTTGAATGACGGTTCTAAACCAGTTTGAGCCTACAAAAGAAGAGGAGGGTGAAATACCTTATTAATTTTATGCAGCCTTTTGGGGTTTTATGGACAGATCTCGTTTTCAACTGGTTCACCCGGTGTCCGCTTAAGTAGGTCTAAAACGTATCCCTCCAAGCTGAAGGCAAGCGATCCGAGTACATCGAATCAAGGAGCCAAGATACAGTCTAGTTCAGCTTCCGTCTGTCTTTCTAATTAATGTTTGTTTCAAAGAGTAAGTCTGCTGGAGAGTGAAGCTTTATATCAGACTAGTACAGTTCTTCGTAAGCCTTGTTGCCTTACTCCTCGTGGTTGTTAGTCAGACTGTAGTTACACGTAGCCTCATCCTGCAATGGTTTCTCTAGATTTCCTTCTCTTCCTACCCAAAAATGTTTTTACAAGGAAGATCCAAATGTCCACCAAATGATCGGCCTCTCTCCAAGTTCCTGCTTTTTCCTTAGTGCCCTTATTTTAAAACATGAGGGGTGGGAGTGTCGAAACCTCTTGGTCTACCTCTGCTTCTATTTAAATAAGCACAAGTTTTCCTCTTGGTCTTAGCGAGGGACGGGATAAGGCTAAAATCCCGTTCTGAAGTAGTGAATAGAACCGGGATGCCTCCAGTCGGGTCCTGCGGTGGGGTTCCCTGCAGTTCAGATTCCACAAAGCCACGAGGCAAGGTCTGAGGTTCAGCTCCCTGTCCGAGGAGGAGATGAAGATTTGAACGGTTGGGTTTGTCTCCCTGCTATGCAGGAGTAAGGTGTGCTGGGCATTACAAAAGGGATTGGCACTTAAGTCAATAGCCTTTCCTAAGCGTGAGTCAGATAAGCTCGCAGGAAAGGAAAATGTTTTCACTCGTTCAATGAAAAACATGTAGCTAGCTCACAAGCAGCGAGATAAACGCGTTCCAGTGGCTGTTTTGCTACACATCCACGGCTGTATGAAAAGAGATCCTGGAAACGGCAATGCTCCGGCAGCGTATGTCGGGAGTAGACTCTGCAAATCGCACGCGCTGCAGGAAGAGGACCGTTGTCTTACTGTGTAGAAACACCTCGTGAAACCTGACCTATTGTTCCAGAGGCAGATGTTATCTTAGCAAGACATGTTATGTTAGTTGCGAGAGATTGTCAGCCAACGCTGCCACATAAGCTGGTATGTCTCCTGAGCCACAGGAAATGTATTTTTTTTATTCTTTGCAACTAGAAGATGTCCTAATCGAGCTTTGATCATATATATGCTAATACAGTCTAATCTCTCCTTGCACGTACTCCCCCCTCACCCTCGTAAGACAAAGCAAAACGCGTATCATCGGTCTGTAACCTGATGGAGACACATTGCTGGAAGGGGAGCAGCTTTTAATGCTTTGTCTTTCCCCTTTTTTTTTTATCTTCTGTTTGCTTTTGAATGAGGTCCTTTGAGTGTTTTGCCATCAGTAGAAGCCCAGGCTGGCTTTAAGCAAAAAGGACAGGCACTGCGGTGCTCAGATCTTATCTCACCTGTCCTGTTTGCGTTGAAGGCTGGACAAAAGGCAGCAATTTCATAAAGGCAAGGCAGCAATTTCATAAAGGCAAGGCAGCAATTTCATAAAGGCAAGGCAGCCCGCAGCCAACGGTGGCTCTTGTGAAAGAATGAGGAAGCTGCCACGCTCAGCGAAGGCTGCCTTCCCCTTCCCTGCTGATGTACCAAACCTACCTGCAGGAGCAAATGCTGGTTTCCTGGCCGGTGGATCGGCTGGATTCATCGGAGGGATTCAAGGTAACGCCTTTTAAAACTTCTGGGGAAGAAATCTTGGGGCAGGTGTCTGCATCTCCGTTGCTGGAGTCCCCGTGATAGCTGGGAAGATGGCACTGGGCATGGGTGTCTTACTCTTTTTTTTTTGGATGGCACTGGGCATGGGTGTCTTACTCTTACTCTTTTTTTTTTGTTGTTTTGTTTTGTTAGCAATTAATTACATGCAGGTTTATTTATTCCTCCCCTCCGCCCCCCCGTATTCAAGATTTGGAGATTTGGCATTTGCCTGCCCAGACGTTTAACTCCCAGCTCTTTACCTCATCCATAGGACCTCGGGCACTTGGAAACGCAAAATTATTCCCGTGTGGGATTCTTTCTTCCACTCTCAACCCTAATGTTTCAAAACAGTAATAAACAGACCCCGCAAGCATCAAAATACCAGGACAAAGTGCTTGGGTTTCTGAGTGGGAGGACGCACGCTACTCTCTGCTGGATCCACGTGAGTGCTCGCCTTGAATCCTCCAGTCACAAGGGGGAGAACGAAGAGCCTTGAGCATGCGTTGCTTCAAGCGCCCATTCGGTCTGAAACTAGGGGTCAGAGTGACCTGAGACCCAGCCAGCCACGAGGCGCGTCCCCAGGTGTGCCACCAGCTGATGGCCCAGGGCGCTTCCAGCTGTGGTCAAAAACTCCACGTACAGATCCAGCTTGAGAAACCCAGAAGGGAGCAGAGTTCGGGGGGCCCGTAGGCGTTATTTTCACCGAGAAACGAGACCGCCTTAAAATTGCTCGGAGAATCGGTGGCTGGTTGGGGCTAGATGCGCGTCGGGAACGGTCCCCGCTCCTCCCGGCTTGTGCGGCGTCACGAGTGGGAAGAGCAGATGGGTGGCAAGAGCCAAGGGGTGTCTTTGGTCAGCTCCTCACGCGCACAAGTGAGATACGTGTTCCCGGGGAACGTGCTGGTGCCGTATTCTCTCTGAGCTCATTGCTCTGCGTGTATATGAGGGCTTTGGGGTTTTTTTTCTTCATTCAGCAGGTGAAGCAGTCCACCGCTGGAGTTTTGCCCCCCTTCCCTCCTCCCATCTGCCGGCTGAGCTGCTCATGGGATGTCCCCTAGCCTATGTCAGCGTGAAAACCAGCAAAGACCTACCGCGTAACCCGTTTCAGGTCATTAGAGCTGACACAGGCGCGGGAAGTGGAGGAGCAGTTCAGCTGGCAGGACGGAGGAGCCGGAACCTTTTCGCCCGGCACAGCCGGAGCCGGGGGCAGGCAGATGTGCAGAGCCCAGCCCCGCTCTGCGTGGCGCTGGGGAGATGCACCGTTGAGAGATGGCCCCCTGCCCCCAAGAATTTCTTATCTAGGCGGCAGAGGTGCAGGCCGAGGAGAGGTGACAGTGACAGATGCAGGAAGCAAACCCGGGTCTCTTTGCTCCCTGGCTGGAGGCCTAATCGCTGCACTCTGCTGCTCTTTGTAAAACATCTCGAGATGCTCGGGCGGAGGGCATTACCGATACGGAAAGAGCACGCGGATGCTAATGGAGGAGGCTGTTAGCGGGGTGGACTTGCGGTTGACTGCAGCTTGGAAAATGGCCTCAAGGGGAAATGCGCTCAGCGTGCATTTGTGAGCTGCGCTTCTAGTTTGTGTTTTTAATTCAGCTCCTGGAGCGGAGCTGGGTCACCCACCCTTGCCTGTAGGAGCTGTAGTGAGCTGGTCGGGATCGGGCAGACCAGGCTGGGCAAGCTGCTTCCTTCCCGTCCTGCCCGGGCTCCGTTAATCCCGACTCGAGTTAAACATCTCAACGCATCGTACTCCTGCGCTGCAAACTCCTCGTTTGCTTTACCCATCGCCCTGCAACCAGCCCTCCCGCAGCAGGCGGTGATTTCACTGTGCCGAAGTATCCGCTGAGGACTTTTATCGATTTGTTGGGGTTTGTTGTTTTTTTTTTCCACTGTCGCTTTTAGACCACATTTTCATCCAGCCTTCTGCATCCAAAAGTACACCCTAGCTGCGTATTTTCCTTTGGTTTTCAGCCGTCGCCCTGCGAAAGGCGGCAGACGCGGATTCGGAGAGGACAGAAGCAGGTTGCCGGCTGGGCTTTCCAATAACGGGAGCGCCGCAAAAGGTGAAAGCGGTCCGTGCTCCTGCGTGGCGAGCTTGGCGCTTTGCAATCTGCCGGAGCCGCGATGAGGCAGACAGGGAACGCTGCTCTTAAAAATACCCGGTAGGTGGGCTGGGGGGTAACGGGTAACTCCTTGAGTGCTTCCGGGCAGCGCCGCACCGGCTGCAGCGTGGCAGCACTTTAGCTGGATGCGGGCAGGAGCGGTGCCAGGGATGTCCCGGTCTGCGCAGCATCAGCCCGCGAGGGCCGTGAGAAACAACGCAGCCCTTCCTAGAAACGTGGTCCGGAGCTTAAAAGACGGACCTAATTGAAAAAATGTATCGAGGTTGTACCAGGGGATAAAAGGGAAAGCTGGGCCAAGATTAACCTGGAGCTCAGCGAGCCGAGAAGCGCGGCAGCTGCGGCCAGGTCCCTAAGCCAATTCCCAGCCACGGCCTCCCAGCCACCCGCTGAATCCATGCCCGGCAGGGAGGCGGTTTGCTCTGGATGCAGGTCTGGCAGGGGAGCCCAGCACGCTCTGGTTTTGTGCTTCAGGTACGTGCTCGCTTTCCGCTTTGCTTCCTACCCCCCGCCACAGCAGCTCCTGGCTTGCTCGTGAGGGCTGCTGCCGCGGCCCGGTGGGTTTTCTTCGGGGGTGTTTTCTGCCTGCACGGTTCCTGCCGGTTGTTCGGTCTGCTGGTCCTGCCAAGAGCCTGTGCTTGGGGAATGCTGGAGCTGCTCCAGTTTCCCCGGAGCCTGCATCTTCAGCTGCTTCCTCGTGACATCCTCCTCCCTTCCCACGCCTGGCATCCCCTCCGGGTACCGCTCGCCTGCCCTGGATGGCTGCGAGCCTCCCCCGGCGTGGGGCTCCGGGAGGGGGTTTCTTTTCCCCTCCCAGCACCTACTGCCTTGTTGCCACCTCCAGCTTCAGCAAGTCCCGTGCAATGGCCCTGCAGCCCCCTTCTAGGGCGATTTCTGAGCCAGCCCTTTCCCCTGCTTGGGCCAGAAGAGACCTGGGGGGAGCAGGCGGCCTCGTTGCTCCGTTAGCACAGAGCCAGGGTGACGTGTTGCCTGCGTTAGCAGAGCCTGGGACTCTGTGACCCAGCAAGCTGCTTCTCCTCCCTCCTTTCTAAAACAAGCCCAGCTGGTGTTTGCAGGAGCAGCTCCTTCCAAGGGAGCCAGCAGAGCAGCTCTGCGGTGGGCTCGCCGGGCTCTGCTCCGCCGGGCTCTCCAGCTGAAGCTTTTCTTGTGGCCGGTGTTTGCAAAACACATCCCTCTCCCTGCGGTTCCTCTGGCGTCTGGGAAGCCGTGAGCTCACCCGGCCCTTCCCCTTCCAGTGAAGTTATGAGGGTTGCCCCCTGTCCTCACCCCCTCGTCAGTGCTTCAGCCCCCTCCACCCTCCTCTGCACCCAGGCAGGATGGGGCCAGTGGGTCGGGGAGCGCTGAGCCCGGGGAGGGGAACAGCCCGGCTGCCGAAGGGCCATGGCCAGAACTGGAAAGCAGTCACGGGCCACATCAGAGGACCGCCCAGGGCGGTTGCCTGGGCTGGAGAGACAAGTCTTCGCTTGGAGAGCTCAGCCAGCTCCATACTGACCCACCGAGGAAGCTTTATGAGCCCACCCTCTCCTTCCCCCTGGCCTGCTGGCTGGCTCTTGGTGGTGTTTGGTGGCCAGTTGCCCTGATGTGATGCTCGGCACGTCACAGCCCCGGTCCCGCCATGGGCAGCGGGAGCTCCTGGGAGGGACCTGGAGCAGAGGCAGGCTGCGTGAGGGTCTCGCGGTGCCTGTGGAAAGGGGATGTCTGGCCCGTGAAGCTGCTCCCGTGCTCGGGACTCGGATCTGCCTAACGCTGGTCATCCGGGGTTTTCTCCATTAGCGAACAGGGCTCCGCACCGGAGGGTCTCCAGGCGGTACCCAGCCACCTCGAGGTGGCCAACCCCCACCCTATGAACTTGCCCAAGGGTGTCTTTGCTTCCCAGCCCGCGGGGAGGAGAGGAAGGGGTGTGCGATGCTGTGTTTGTGCCTATCGGCTGTCGCCACACCAGCTGGAGCAGTGCTGCAGCCCGCAGAGCTAACCACAGTTATTTTAGCAGGCCGATGTTTATGTTTACCTCCCTGCCGCAGCGAGCCATCGCTCTCGGTCGCTCACGGTTTTAGCAACAACCGCTGCTCCAGGCCAGGCTAATTCCAGCTCTCTTGGTTTTGGGGCCGTTTGTTCTCACCCAACAGCAGCGCACAGGTAGTTTTGGAGAGAGGCATCAAATGTGGAGGCGGGGGGGGAGGATTTCTGCAGCTTAGACTGGATTTGTGCTGCAGTGTCAGGGCTGCCGGCGAGGGGTCCCTGGCCCCAGGGGACGCTGCGTGCACTGAGGTTGAGATGGGATCCGGAAAGACAGGGCTTGCCGGGCTCTGGCTCAGAGCTTGTCCTCCAGCTCTTGGAGTCTGCAGCTGAACAGGCAAAAAAAACCCACATGAACCAGTTCATTTGTCTGTTTTTCTGGGGCAAAACTGAAGCCGCAGCTTGGAAACGTCTCTGCCCTGGCCCCTGCGTCCAGGGCCGGCGCCTGCAGCCGGGGTGACAGCCTTTCCCCTGTGCTGCCTGCCTGGCTCTGGAGTTCGAAACTTTGCAATAACTCACTTATTTGAGAAATTGGAGCCAGATGGGGGAGGAGATCAGCCCTTCCCATATTTGTGATTTTTCACCAAGCACGGCAGGAGCAGGCCAGCAGAAACTGGAGCAAAACCACCCGTTTCCCCTCCCCGCTCCTCTTTATGCCCATCCCAGCGGGCCTTGGTCTCGTGCGTGGGGCTCTGGTCTCGCCGGAGGCCTCCCAGGCTCCTGGGATCAGCTTGCTCCGATCTCCAGGCGAAGTTCAAAGCTTTCCCTTCGTTCCTGCCTGCAGCCGCGGGGCGTTTAATGTGCGGCCGGCAAACCCCGCACGCTGGCGCCCTGGATGTGAACCGCTGCTTCTCAGCTCTGTCTGAAAAGGAGGCGTCTCGGGGCCTCGCCTCCCAATTGTGGAGGTGGTGAACATGAAAAAGCCGCTGGCTCCTTTTAACGCAGGCAAAGGCGGCTGCTCCGGAGGCAGAGCCTTCGCCCGGCCGTCCTCGCAGCGGGGTGGTGCCCGACGTGAACCGTGAACCGCTGCTTCTCAGCTAAAAGGAGGCGCTGGCTCCTTTTAACGCAGGCAAAGGCGGCTGCTCCGGAGGCAGAGCCTTCGCCCGGCCGTCCTCGCAGCGGGGTGGTGCCCGACCCGGAGCTCTCATCCCGGGGGGTGGTGAGAAACCCCCTGCCTGGCGCTGTTCCCGCTGCCGGGCTGGTTTTCGGGCTGGCAGGTCAGACGGGAGGGGGAAGAGACCCTTTCTGGAAGCTGGAGAAGGTGAAGATGCTCCCGGAGGCTGGCAGCATCGCTGCTCTCTAGACGTTAGGACCTCAGGGATGCTGATGCCAGAGCTGGGTGTGGTACCTTCATACCAAACCAGTACTTGCCTTTCTAGGCGCTTGGTAGCCCCTCCGACTGCTCGTAGGGATGCTCCGTGGTCCGGTGGCTTCGGCTGCAGGCAAGGGGCACTCCTGCTCCTCTCTCTCTCAGCACCGGGCCGGATCGTGCAGCGGGGTGAGAGTGAAGCAGCATTTCCTCATCACCCAAGGGCTTTGCTGGGCTTGGATGGGGCTGGAGGGGGGGATGGATGGGAGGAGCCGGGACTCCACTAACCTGATTAACCAGGTTAGAAACCAACCTTGCAAAAATCCAAGCCCTCTCGCTGCAAACTCCTCCCGCCCTCCCAGGGCACGGCTGGTCCTGAGTGGGAACCCCCCCCCCCCCCCCCCCCG